CCATTCAAAAATACACCAGAATCAGAGGAAAAAAGTGCATCACAATATTTATTCATCATTTTCCAAGAATTAGCCTTCAAACTATAAATCTTGATATTGGCACCATATACATACTGAACACCATAAACTCCATAAATTTCAACCACTTTGTAATCATCAGTAGACTCGTCATAACCAAATCCATACGTAACATCACATCGCGAATACTCATGACCAGAAAAAGGCAGTTTCTTGGTTTTTCTAGTAGATGGATTCCACAAAAACAAGTTAAATGTGTACATGCCAATGCACATGAAAAACAATCCATTACAAGAACCAACACCTGCTATTATATTCGATCGATTCCAAGGGATATAGAGCTCATCAACACTAGATATGAATTTTTCATGCAATACAGAATAAAGGGGACAGGAATATAAAGTATGAGGAAGATACATGGAGAGTAAAAGGAGTTTTTTGTGTGAGAAGTTGTTCTTTGTTTCTGATATTTTTAAATGGGATTTAACAAATTGAGAGCTTGAAATTAAAGAAAGCCATGATTTTGAAACACCCTTGAACTTCAAGAGTGATTTGACTGGTAATCTTGAGAGTATCTCTATGATGATTTCTATTGGAAAATTTGGAATCTGCATTTGATCTTTGGTTATTGAGGTTTTGATATCATTGCTTGTAGCCATAAATGGCTTTAGGATTTGAAGAATGCTCTCTCAATTGACTCACAAATGATCAAAGTGACAAGCTGCCAACAATGTTTTCTATTTCAATGTTCCAATGGTCAACTCTGAGAAATTTTGCATGTCTCACACAACTACAAATGTTGTGCGACATCGGATCTAGGATTTAAACTATATGTGTTCAACTTTTAAGGTTTTTAGCATTGAAAACATTATATTTTTAATGTTATAGGGTCATATCTAAGTATTTCTGCAATTTTAACGAATTTTTATTTATAAATTATTACGCTGCATTGAAAGTTATGGATTCAATTAAACTCGTACACCCGTACTTGGTATACTACATTGGGACCGTCTAAATTTTATACAAGTGGCATTTTTGATTCCCTCTAACCACTTTTTGGTGCTTTTCTTTTTCTTTTTCTTTTTCTTTTTGCTTTTAGAATTTTTATTTATCTTTTCTGATTTCATTGTTTTTTAAATGAATACTTGCCCCCTTAATTATATTCGTGCTTACCATACATTTTGTCCAACTTAGTCATTCAATGCCACATAAACTCGTTAATGTTTAGAGGTTTAGAATATGTATTTTGAACATATTCATGTGTTCGATAAAATCCTATGAAGATGGGCTAGAGTTTCACTTTTAAATCAGCAATTCGAATAATCAAAAGATTCTTTCCAGGTGAACTAACTGAAAGAAAAATATAAAACTATTGTTTTTCAAATCCTGGTGTAGGCATACAAATTTATTAAAATTAAATCCGTAAAATAATTTGGACTATATTTTAAATTTGGTACAGATAAATTTTATAGGCTAATATATAAATGAATTAATTATATAGGTCCAATATATATGGATTAAATAAATGAGTCTTAATCCGTTGGGCTAGCTCATTTAATCGGGCTAAAGTGATGAGCTCACTTCATTAAGCTCAAGATGTCATCTTCCTAGAGGCCCAGTTTGGTGTCACGTGTCATATGACGTGGCACGCCAGGTCAAGCGGAAGAGCCAATAGGATCATGCCACGTATCAAAATGACAATGCATGCCAAGTCACATTAAAAGGCCAATAAAATCGTGCCACATGTGCAAGTGACATGTTCTAGCCAATCAAATGCGGATATGTCACACTTCAATTTGATTGGTCGAAAAGAATTTGTTCTTATCACAACTTCTCCCTTCCACAACTATAAATAAGGGTCTTCATAACTCAGAAAAGACACCAGAAGTTATAACAAGAAGCAAGAGAGAGCTCGTGGATCAAACACCACAAATTCCTCCACAAGTTTCAAGCTTCAAGCAATCAAGTTCAAGTTCAACAAATCAAGTTCAAGCTCAAGAACGAAGAACAAATCAAGTTCAAGCTCAAGAACGAAGAACAAATTAAGGTTCAAGGAGTGTGAGTTCAAATCAAAGTTCGTGGTAGTTGAATTCAAGATCGTCGTTCGTGGCAACAAACATAGATTCAACATCAAGCTCAAAGGCCCTTGAATTTATTGGAAAGAAGAATCAGAGGATCCATAGAGATTGTAACACTTAAATATTCAAAATAAAATACTACGATTGTTGCAATATTTTTCGGTCTTGATTTTATTTTCTCGATGCAAATTTATTGTCTACACCTGGTTTGGAAGTTATAAGCTTAGTTTCATTTGTTATATTTTTTTAAGCCCTCATATTCACACACACACCCAAAAAAAAAAAAGATCTAACTGCATACATGGATTTAAGAACTTCAAATATTACTGTGATCAGGGATTTAGGCCATTTTTATGATGCACGTGAACCCATAGTCTTTCCGTCAAATTAAGTATTTTATGTATATATTTCTTAAAATTAATCTAATATTATATGCTGACCTCAATGCTTCAAAAAGGTTGAATGGTGCCCCTGATTGAATGTTTAGTTATTTATCCAAAGTAACATGGATCAATTCTCACATAGTACTCTTTATTTTTTACTTTTTCAATGATGCATCCAAATTCTAAAAATCCTAAATTTGCATCTGATTTTGATCCTTTATCTAGGGAAAAAAATGACAGCTCGGTGTACAAAGCTTTCGATAATTATAGAACAAAACAAAACAGAAATCATAGATTAAAAGACTTCAACATGAGAGTTTCACTTATTAAAAGTCCTCGAATTCGGCCATCGCCCTTTTTTAAGTTTGTCAATTATATAACGAAGACTAAAAAGGTTTATTTTTGACAAATATAAGAAAACTACTTTAAAATATATTTAAACGATTATCTAAACATAACTACTCTAAAGGATTAAACCTACTCTAAACGTAACTACATAAGTAATCATCTTTTCTGATCGATTAATATAATTTTTTTTTCATATTTTAAGTTATATGCAAGAGACCTTATTTGTTTTTCTTTCTCTCACGAAAAACACACTCCATCTTTTGTTAACAGCTTGTTTAGAGGGTTATTACCCATCGTTTTATAATGTATTGTATTGTGTTGTATTGTATCGTTTTATAAATATAATGTTTGAATAGATTGTATTATTTGCTGTTGTTAAATAACATTTTGCTGTTTGGTTTGACTGTATCATATTGTACTGTAACTGATAAGTTTACTAAAATATCCTCAGTTATTTAAATATTAAATTTATCAAGAATTATGCATAAAAATAATTTAAGAAAACCCTTTTCTACTAAGTTATCACCAAATATGTCTTATAAATAGATTAATCAATTAAATTCATGTAAATTCTAATAAAATTAGGGGAACAAACTTAGCAATTTTATGTTGGAGCTAGAAGCAGAAGAAGTTATGGGAAAAAAGGATGAAGATAAAACAGGTTATATGTGGGAGATTGGAGTTTTTTTTTTTTAAAAGGTAAAGGTTAAAAGAGAACTATGGAGCAATGCATAATTGAAAAAAAAAAAATAGGAAATAATCTCATCACACCGGTTGTTTCAAGAAATGAGACTTTTTATTGTTTCGGAATAATAAATTTTAATGAAATAATAAAAACAAATACTATTATTTTGAAATAACAATATGATATGATACTATACAAGGAGTAGCAACCATCCAAACAAGCTGCAACTTTCCTTAGAGCATTGTTCTGGATGCCGCCCTTTCATTCCCCAAATTTGAATAACCAATGAGCCAAATCACAATCATCAAATCATAGACATAGATCAGTGTCACCTGTGACTGACAAAACCAACGCAAACAACCAAAAACCAAAACACAACATTCTCAAACAATAACCAGATTCCTACTTCAAGAATCTGTAAAATCACAAAAAATGCACAACCACCTTCCACCACCACCAACCACCACCAGAACCACCACTAAAATCTCAACACCCTTTATCCTCATTGCCACCACTCTCTT